TATTTCGGAAGCCATTTCGATTAACTCCATACTCTGTATAATGTAATCGTTTCAGTAACCTGTATCTGTTCTGGCCGTGCATCAACGCTTCTACATTTATATTTGAATTCATATTATCAGGGAAATTTTAAAAAACATATATATTACATCATCGCCTTTCTCAACTTTTTGTTTTATGGAGTTAATCGATGTGTGCACTGAGCGGCTCAAATGTGTGTATCACGAGTGTTATCATTTTACTATCTTGTAAAAGTAGCAAATAAGTTTTACTTCAATCACTTATGATCCTTACGCGCACTCTTTTTTCTATTTTTTCTAGGATTCCAAACACCACCTATCAGCTCAGTCGAGTGATCAACGCCAAAATTCTGCCGAAACCGAAGCATCGACAACATCAACTGTAGGGTCTTTCTCACATTGTCCAAGTGAAAGACCAAAAGCAAGACCCACCATCACAGTAACTTCGGCACAACTGCCCATAGGACCCACCAGCTCGGAGGAATCAGCAAAGGTGAGAATTTTTTAAGAAAATCATTGTCATCATTGTCATAGATATAAGTATAAATATAAATATAAAAAATATCCGTCACCATCAGTCACAAGTTTCACAAATTTAGATCAGTAAGAACTAGGGAATGCAATACCGATGGAAAATTTCAATACCGGTATTTCGGTAATTTTTCATTTTAAAACCGGCTAAATTACCGGTATTTTTATTACCTCAAACAAACGTAAACAAAATTGAAAGTTACTAGTACAAATATAAAAAAAATGTATATACAACTACAACTATATTCAACTAAACAATAGAATAAAACAATAAGTTTAATTTTTTAAATAATAATTTAACAAAAGTATATGCAATTTAATTAATTCATTATCACTATATTGAGTACTTTTCACCAAAAGCAAACTTATGAGTAAGAAAGACCAAAAACTCATAAAAGATCATATTACATTATTATAATAAACTGTATTGTCTGTATCCGATGTGTTAAATTAGCATAATCTCCAATATTTAAAAAAAATAATTTTTCTACACTAATTTAAGATCGGATTCTTTGTCGAGATAAATAATAAGTTACTATAATTGTTAAGTATTGTTATTTAAAACAATGTGATGCTTCTATAGTATTTTCAAACGTTTTCGAAAAATAATATTTTATAATTGTAATAGAAAGCAAATATATTTAGTAATTATCATAATTATTAGATAGTTTGCTCGTGACTCGAGTTTCTTTTATAATTTTTTTCTAATTTGCTCGTCAGTAGAGTCCTTTCAAATTTTGCTAGTCAGTATAGTCTTTTTTTTTAATTTTGTTCGCCAGTAGAGACTTTTTTTAATTTTGCTCATTTTAAAATTTTGATCACCAGTAGAGACTTTTTTAATTTTGTCCGTCAATAGAGTTCCTTATTATTTTAAAATTTTCTAGCTCAAGCAAAAAAATTCTTTATCAAGGGCTGTTTACCACTAAAACTTTTCTTAGAATTTCATGAACCATTCATCTTTATTTTAATTTTTTATATTTCGGAGTTGCAAAACACATACAACCTTAAATTTTCACCCTTTTGCTACAAATTCTTATATATTATGTAATAGTCATTTCAGTCTAGATTCTTAGAAATATTTTAAATGGTAAAACGTTTTTGCCGGGCCAACTAGTATATATATATATATATATATATATTGCAGACCAATCGTTGAATTAAAAAAGATCAAATAGAAAAATTATTTATTCCAATAAACGTTTCAACACTTGATGTGTGTCATCATTCAGTAATCTAAAAAACATATAACAAATACAAGGTTGATGATGATAAATACGTATAAAGTAAGAAAAAAATAAAGATTACGCAGTATGATATAAAATATTTTGGCGCAAATATCACATAAAAAACCGTTACATTTTTACATAAGATGAAACAAACATCATTATCCATCAGTCAAATTCTATTTATTGTAACACGATATGAAGCCCTTTGGAAAGCAATAAATATTCAGTTTAATGACGAGTTCAGATAATATTTGACATTTGTTTATCCTATAGAATCACTTGAAGATATAGCTGTTTATGCGATTATGGAATTTAAAGATAAATTTGTTCCGAGAAGTTTAAACTTTAGTGTATTATGTATCAAATAGCGCTTATGTAAAAATACCGAAAATAACGATATTTTTGTAATAAATACCGCCGAAAAATCGAGCGGTTTACCGGTAATTCGGTATACCGGTATACCGGTATTGCATTCCCTAGTAAGAAATGTGAGTTTTATTTTATTTACTGTAATGTTTTTGCAGGATTCGCCTGGCAAAACGGCACAGCCCATGTCAGAGACAATGTGCTGATAGCGAAAGAAATATAAAACATGGAAAGTTTTTAAAGATTTTGCGAAGTGTTATTTGCATATGGTAGTTATTACGTTAGTCGCGGATTTAGAGTCGTCGATTAAAAGTTGCACGTTGCAAAATGGAATTTGTAGTGCATTAAAAATTGTAATGATGAATTGTTAAATTCGATAGCCTAAACCTGATCTAAATTATGTATTTTGTGTAAAGACGAAGGTCTATGGTAGGCTTATAAATCTGGTGTTAAATTATTAAGCTACAGATCGTTTGGATCTAAGTTTATTAACACGTAAGATTTTCAAAAACTTAATGTTTTCTGTACTTTAAATATTAGTGATCATGATCTCGATGATCTAAGATCGTAAGTCTTTCAGATCTAACGATTGATGATACAAAACCTTTTACCTTAAAATTGCTTGAAATTCCAAGGCCAGGAAAATCCATAATTTAAAAATATTAATTCTAATATGAACTCCAAGGTTTAAAAATCTTAAAATTTTAAGATCATGAAATTATAAAGTTTTGAATGATCTTAAAGTTTAAAATCTTTTGATATTTACTGCATTTTTGAGGCTTCAGGCTTTAGGCATTTTAGTTTGATTATCTTGAAGTTTCAAGGCCTTTAGTATTCGTAATATCGAAGTTTCAAGGCCTTTAGTTTCCACAATATTGAATTTTTAAGGTTTTAATTACAACAATATTCAAGTTCCAAGGCCTTTAGTTTTCATAGTATGGAAGTTGTAAGGCCTTTTTAATATCAACAATAATAATAATATTCAAGTTCCAATGCCTGCACTTTTCATAATATCGAAGTTGAAAGTCTTTAGTTTCAATAATATAATATTTAACATTTATGGCCTTTAGTTTTCGTTGTTTTGGCGTTTTAAAGCCTTTATTTTCAATAATATCAAAGTTCCAAGGCCTTTAGTTTCACCAAAAGCCTTTGGTTTTTTTATATTAAGGTTCCAAGGCCTTTAGTTTCCACAATGTCGAAGTTTTAAGTCTTATAATTTCTACAATATTTATGTTCCAAGGTCTTTAATTTCAACAATATTCAAGTTCCAAAGGTTTTAGTTTCTATAATATTAAAGTTCCAAGTCCTTCAGGATTCATAATATCGAAGTTTCAAGGCCTTTAAGATTTATAATATCGAAGTTCCAAGAACTTTAGGATTCTGAATATTTAGTTTCCATAATATCGAAGTTTTAAGGCTTATAATTTCATCAATATTTATGTTTCAAGGTTTTTATTATATATAATATGTTCCAAGGCCTTTCGTTTCAATAATATTGTAGTTCTAAGGTCTATAGTTTCAACAAAGGTTTCCTTGATATTAAGGTTCCAAGGTCTTTAATTTTTACAATATCGAATTTTAAGGTCTTATTTTTACAGTTTTCACGTCTCAAGGTCTTTAGTTTCTATAATATCAGGGTTCCAAGACATTTTGCTTTCATAATAATAATATTGGCCTCATATCGCAGTTCCAAAGCCTTTAGATTCCATGATATCAAATTTTAAGGCTTTTAATTTTACCAATATTCGAGATCCAAGGGATTTAGTTTCTGTAATATTTAAATTTCAAAGGCCAAGGCTTTTGGGTTTCATAATATCGGGAGTTCCAAGGCTTTTAGTTTTCATAATATGGGAGTTCCAAGGCCTTATGTTTCCGTAACATCAAAGTTTTAATACATTTAATTTCTATGTTACCAAAGTTCTAAGGCATTTGGTTACAATAAAGGCCTTTGGTTTCCTTAAGATTGAGGTTCTAAGGCCTTTAATTTACTACAGATTGAAGAGCAAGATTTTTAGTTACAATATCAAAGTTCCAAGGCCTTTAGGTTTCATAATATCGAAGTTGAAAGTCTCTAGTTTCTATTATAGGACTTTCAAGGACTTTTGTTCCAGTAGTATTATTAATATTAATGTTCCAAGGCCTTGAGTTCGCATAATATTGTAGTTCCAAGGCCTCGACTTTTCATAATATCAAAGTGGTAAGGCCTTTCGCTTTCATAAAGACCTTTGGTTTCCTTAATATTAAGGTTCCAAGGCCTTTAGTTTCCTACATATTGAAGAACCAAGAGTTTAAATTTCTACGATATGAGAGTTCCAAGGCCTTTAGTTTCTTTTAATTTATATCTATGTTATTGAAGTTCCAAGGCCTTCACTTTCCATAATATTGAAGTTTCAACCTTCTGTTATTCAAAGAACTTCAAATCCTAATAATAAAAAAAATGTGAAAAGATTTAGATCCTAATCAAAATCTAAAAAACATCTTAGGCCTTGAAATATGAAGTCTTAAAAATGCATGGCCTTTAAGGTCTTTATTATCTTTTACTATAAACTCTAAAATTTATAAAATCTTGCTGGCACATTAAACTGTTGTAATTAACAAGATTAGATAACAAAACAAAAGAGATATAAATAAATAATATAAATGAATAATATAAATAAATTAAAGGCTACGCTTAAGGCCAAAAATCTTAAAATGAAAACAAAAAATTACAGAAATATCTATAATATTATTTACTGGATCGATATAAAAAAAAGATAAATCATGAAGTTTCAATTTTTTTACAACAAAATTGCTACTCGATAATAAATTTAAGACATAGTCTTTATGTAGATATATGCGTTGAATGTAATATAATATAATATTAATGTTAAAGGCTTTTTTCGAAAGGCCATCACGTTTAGATAAATTATATATTGATGTTATTGATAAGAGTTTATATAATTTATTTATAATAATAGTGATATTTGTAATCTGTGAGTGGCAATCTTTTTCAAATATATATATATATATATATATATATATATATATATATATATATATATATTATAATTATTAAATCGTCTGAAATGAATGTTGAATCATTCGTTCCTTTGTTATGCATCGTAGAAATTATTTATTAAACAAATTAATTAGTAATTATTTTTAGTTATAGATAAATAAAAAAACGTGTTACTTAAATAATCAACAAGGTTTAAAAATTTATTAAAAGAGTGAATATATGTAAACACCAAAATATTATATATTAGAGAAATTTATACGTACATCAAATGCTGTATATATATATATATATATTTCAAAGTAACTAGCAGCCCATTCGTCGAAATAAAAAAAGGTATAAAGTATAAAAACTTTTATTTATACGTTTCGACACAAGATGCGTGCCATCATTCAGCAACTACAACAATTTGAAAATTTTATTAACTAATATAAACAACAATAAAGATTAATTATAGCATAGAGAAACATTATACACACCACAGGACAAAAACACTCAACAAAAATTTATTTTAAAAAATTAAACTTAATAACATATTAGAGAAAAACTAATTAACTAAACTAATTAACTAAAATGTAAATGGTTAATTTGCTATCTCTTTTATATTATTGTTTACAATATTGTTTTTTCTTGTTCTAACTTTTACATGGTTTGCTTTTTCCTTTTGATCAATTCCAGCTCAACCACTGTGTTCGTTGCGTTTCGTGCCTCGAGTTTTTGTCCTTGATGCGTCCCCTCCCATTCCTATCAATACGCCTATTGAAAGAATTCAGTCGAGTATGTTTGCTCGGTATGGGCGTGTTTCTCTCTTCACAATGTTGCATTTCATAACTTTTTGTCAAATTAGTTTTCAAATCTTTTAGTTATGCATATTTTTTTCTAAAAAAATGTTTTTCTCTAATATGTTATTAAGTTTAATATTTTTAAAATAATTTTTGTTGAGTGTTTTTGTCCTGTGGTGTGTATAATATTTCTCTATGTTATAATTAATCTATATTGGTGTTTTTATTAGTTAATAAAATTTTCAATTTGTTGTAGTTGCTGAATGATGACACGCATCTTGTGTCGAAACGTATAAATAAAAGTTTTTATACTTTATACCTTTTTTTATTTCGACGAATGGGCTGCTAGTTACTTTGAAATATGTTTCAACGTCGAAAAAACTATCAAGATATATATATATATATATATATATATATATATATATATATACAGCAGCCATATATATGAAAAAAATCGTATTGATAAATGTCGGTTGTGTTTTTTGAATTTTATAATATTCGTAATCATATTAATAAATATTAATTATTAATATATAAATATATATTCAGATATTATATCGATGTTACCCCAATAATAGATTTTAAGAAAAGTCTATCTAAATTATATTATAAACTAAATATTATTATTTATTATTAAATGATGATGTTTCAATCGTACCAAACCGAAAATTGGATGTGGTTGATGTTTTTGGCCAAAATAGGATAAAAGGCCTATAAATGGGAAAGGCCTAAAATGTAAATGGCCCAAAAATTTTTGGTCAAAAATATTTGCCAAGTTTAAGTCCAGTTTTAGAAATTAGGACCCAAATTAAATTGATCATATCTGCTGAACACGTTCATATCTTTGTGGAGTTTTGGTGGAGTTGACTACAGATATATATATATATATATATATATATATATATATATATATATTAATTAGAAACATATTTTTAAAATATTTTTTCAAGTTAAAACAGAAATCGCTGCTGTCCGATATCAGGTTTTTTAGAGTAGTAATATAATTTCAAGAAAAATGAAAAAACTATGATTATTTGCTTTTGCAAAAAAAAGGGACTCTACTGACGAGCAAACTAAACCTTAGAATCTAAATTGGGAAAAATTTAAAAAAATCAGTCTCGAATCACTTTAAGCTACAATTGTATTTTTACATAAAAAGGAACTCTACTGACAAAATTTAAAAATGTATAAATATATCCTTGAATCAATAAAAATAAACAACAAAATCCCATAAATACTTAAATTTACAAAATACTTTTAAGAGAGTAGGAACTCTACTGACTAGCAATCTTGATCAATAATAGGAAATAACAAAATTCAAGCAAATACCTAACTATTACAAATACCTTACATATTCAATTATCTTTTATGATCTCTACTGACGAGTAAACTGAATTCTTGAATGAATTTTACGAAAAAAAGGAACTCTACTGACGAACAAACTAAATTTTTAAATCGCTCTTGGGCAAATAGAACTCTACTGACAAGCAAATTAGATCATTGAACC